TCAATTATTTAGTATATTAGTTATTAGCTGTTGCATCAATGGAATTTAAATGATTAACAATACTAATGCCAACTAACTATTTTGGAAAAAAAAAAAAAAGAGGAAATGCCCCACTACTCTGTAATTAAAATTTTATCTTTAACGCGCTTAAATAAAATCAGAGCATATATAAGGTTGCCAATATATATATACACACACATTTATATGTATAGCACACAACTCAGAAAAATGAGCTATAATAGATATTGCTTAATTCCATTAGGTTATCACTATGACCAAAAGGCGCACAAAATCTCAGTCATCCTACCTCCGGTGGAAGAATTCGTTTTCCTCGTATCTCTCGTCACCGTCTGCGCCTCCGTAGGACAACACTTCGGAAAAACCGACGAAAATTCGACGGTCTTTGAGAGGAGGAACCCCTACTTCCACTCATTTTTGATTGCCCTCGATTTCGCCTTCACGGGCGCAATCACGACGATGTCTCTTCGGCGGAAAAGCCCCACCATTGCTTGGTATTGCCGGCGAGTAGCCGTTACTTCTGTCGTCGCTGCTGCCGGAATATTGACGTCGTCGCTTTTCCGGCGGGGATTTATTGTATAATCGAGGGAATTTCGGGGGTTTATTTGTGATGATTTAATGAAACAAATTTACGGTTTTAGTTATTCTCAACATCATTGTGTTTCTTTTTTATCAATACATATATATATGTGGAGATTTGTTTCTAATTTTCCACATTTTATCTTCAATTAAACATTAATCAATTTGCAGAGTGAATTTCTGTAATTACTGTCAGAGCAATTTTAATATCATTTTTTTTTTGATTCTTATTATTATCATCATATATATATAATATATGTACAACAGATACAAACACACACACACAATCATCAAATGAAGTTTCTAATTGCAGTTTCAGATCCTCTGTTATTAACTTTATCCAATCTCGCATCATAAATTTTAATATTATTTATATAAAATTTAAATAAAATTACATACAAGCCTAACTTTATTATATAAAGAAATAATGGTTAATCTTACAAGATACAAATTTGTTTTACTTAATGTAAGTATGTATGTATATATAGACAAATTAAATCGTCTCTATAATTGTGAAATTTATACAAAGAGAAGACTCCCCCAAGATTGACTCACACAAAACACACATTTAAGGTGGAAATTGGAACCAAATTTTTGGATTACGCCAATTCGATCCGAAAATTTCTCAATTTGGAACAATATATTTCATTTTGACTTTCAAAAGTTTCGAAATTTGATGCATTATCTTTTTGATATATCGGAATTGGAATACATTTGAGATTTCGATTTTAAATTGTGAAATATTTCCAAATAAACTATTTTTTTCGCCCGAAACTATACTTATAATTAAGGTTGTGCGTTGGTTGGGTTGGTTAAAAAACAGTCATAAAACCAACCCAACCCATCCAACCAACTTTGGCCAATATTGGAAACCCTTATCGACCCAATTTACATGGATTGGGTGATGGTTGCAAACCAATTTAGTGGGTTGGTTGATGGGTCATTCATCTATTTTTTTTTTTAATTTTATTTAATATTTTATTAGTAGTTAGAAAACTATATCTTTTATAAATTAAATATGACTATTTCAATAATATTCAAATAAAAAATTCAAACATTACTAACCATATATATTGCAATTAAATATAAACAGTTCAGCAAATAATAATCGTCCAAATATTTAGGCTATATGTCTTAAAATTATAATAGTTCAAAATAGAAAATTAGGTTAGATTTATTGCTTTTAGGATTTTGGTCAATATTAAATAATTTAATAAATGTGATATAAAATAGAAATTTGAAATTAAAAATATTAAAAAATTTAAATAAAATTAATAAACAATAAATTAATAAATAAAGTTGGTTGGCCGATACTACCCGACTAACCAACTTTATAGCATTTTAGAAACCATTATCGACCCAACTATACATGGGTTGGTTGAGATTATCGACCTAACTTAAATGGGTCGGTTGATGGTTGATTATCCGTCACAAATTATGGGTCGAAAATGGGTTGGTTGGTGGTTAAAACCGATCCATGCACAGCCCTACCTATAATACAAGTTTAATTATGTATTTTATATTATAGATTAGGGGTGTGCGCGGGCCATAAACCCGCGGGTTCTATCAAGACCCGCCCTAGTCCCGTTAAACAATGGTTCTTTATTTTAAAGAACCAAACTTATCGGTTTTCAATGAGTTTACGATAGGCGGGTCCATGGCGGGTTTGTAATTGGACCCGACCGTTACGGGTCGAAACCCGTTATCGTTGTAGACACGTAAATTTAATATAATTTATATTATATTAAATTGAATCCCAAGATTATAATTTATCTTGCAAAATAAGTCATGGAGATAATTATCAATTAATTATTGGCCAATATGATTGTTTCTTCTCTTCCAAGTTATAAGAGATAAATATCAATTTAAATTGAGCCAATCAAATCACGCCACGTCATCAAGTAGACTTTAAGTATGACTCTTATTCTACCACTATAAATAGGGACCCTCCCTACACAATTCAAAACACAACTCAAGAAGGAGAAAAACCGTAGAGAAAATTCTCTCTACAATATTCAAGTCGTTCTTCAACAAATTCAAGGCGTTCTTCATCAAATCGAGGGCGTTCTTCAACAAATTCAAGGCGTTCTTCATCAAATCGAGGGCGTTCTTCAACAAATCAAGATCAAAGGAAGATTGAAGGGCCAAATCCATCAAGAACTCCAAGATCTTCAAGAACAAATCAAGATCGAAGGAAGATTGAAGGGTCAAATCCATCAAGAACTCCAAGATCTTCAAGTCAAAACCCGTCAAAGTTCAGCGTTCGATCCGAGATTCAAGTCGCAAGACCCTTGGAAGACGTTATTCAAATCCAAATCAAATCCGGAGAAGATCAAGTCAACGAACCGACTCCGAAACTCAAAGTCAAACAAATATTGTTCTTGAGAGAAAAATCAGAGGATTAAATTAGAGTTTGTAACCCGCAATATTATTATTTTAATTCAATAAATTATATTTGTGCAGTTTTTCTTGTTTGTCTAAATCGCAGATAAGATTTTGTTGCTACAATCGTCTGAACCATTTTTTTATATAATTTATAAGTATTACGGAGAATAATTAGAAACTATAATGAATAACCTAAAATCTTAAATTGAAACCAAACATAAATAATGTAAATGTCAAGAGTACATAAAAATTAATATAAAACTAAAAATTACTAATTCAGAACTTAAACGACAAAATTTAAATAAAATGAATATAGCATTTTCAGGCATAACCAACGTTATTCAACTCCATTCAACACCATTTTCTTCCTTTTTTTTTTCTGCCGTGTGTTAACCGTTGTATATATATGTTTTTTTCCTACATTTTCATAGAGATTTTCATAATTTTCCACAATTATAGTTTAGTTTATTTATGTATTTGATACACTAGAGATACTTTATTCATTCATTAATATTATTAATTTATTATACTATATAATACAAAACGACGTCGTTTTGTATGGCGGGGCAGGACGGGTTTCACGGGTATTAAAAAAAATTGAACCCATCTCAGACCCAAACCCACGGTTTTTCACCATTTTAGAACCCAATCCTATGGAATGATCTATCCGTCCGATCCTAACAGGGCGGTTTTCACGGGTTTGACGGGTGTAGCGGGTTGATGGGTCCAACTTGCTCACCCCTATTATAGATGAAAAAAAAAAAAAACAATGGAACTTTCAATTTTGGCCAATTCCCATTAAAAGACAAACTTGATTCAGAAATAATTAGGTTTTCACCCTCAAAAAAAAATCTTTTTTTCGAAAATACTATTACATTCCTATCCGATCCATCTGATTTCCACCACTGTATACACACTCGTATTATAAGTGTCTACATAAATAATAATAATAATAATAAGCCTTTCTCCTCCTATAAATTCCCCTTCTTACTTCATGCAAATACTCCCATACAACACCACAAACCCTAGCAATAGAAAGCAACGGAGAATGATATTGAACCGCAAATCTGCACGAAGATCGAGGACACGAAAAAAAGGAGGCAGTTGGACGAGCTTTGGTCTCAGGTTGTTCGTTTCCAGACAGCGAATCGCAATCTTGTTGATAAGTTGAAGAAGCAAGTTTCGGACAGTTGTGAAAGAGTTGAAGAAAACGTGAGGCTTAACGAAGATCGAAAGATGGTGGACGAAGATGCTCAAGTTAGCAATTATTATGATTCCCTGCTATAGTGCTCATCATCTTCGGGATGATTTTTCGAACCTTCCTCTCACAATTTACGTTTTAAAAAGTTTAGCAGCATGATAAATGAATGCAAATTAAAAAAAGTTCATCACGCCTGGTAATAAAAATGCATGTCTCAAATCAAAGAATAATATCATTTACCCTTGACCGGATATTTAGTAAATTGCATTATCCTCCCTTGGTGTTATGTTTAATTACGTGTGGACCCCTCATATTTATAATATTACAGATACCTCCCTTGATATGTAGCAGGCTGATATATATGTTTAATTAAGAATCATAATTGTCATCCAAACTTCCTAGATTTCTGACTCTTTTGGTAAGTTCCTAAGTACCTCACAAAGTCACTTTTCACAAGGGAAGAGTAATATTTAAATAAAAAAAATAGTTGGAAAGGTTAATTATTCATATTAATACATATTTATTAGCTTTATTAATACATGTGCCGAACTTTAAACGACAGTTATTTTAAAACGAAGGGCCATTATAGATAAAGTGAAAACTGAATTCGTCAAGAAAATAACAATTCTGTGTGTATTTAACCATGTATACATACATATTTTACACATATATGCATTCGTAATTTTGTATATGATTATATGCAGATTTACAGATATGTTTACTCGATATTTTCCACCCGTTATATATCATGTACAAAATCGAAAAATAAACTTATCCTCCTCTTCTTCAACTCTTATGCATTAATTACTTTAGCATCTTTGGAATAACTTTCATTTCAAGAAATCATTCAGAAAAAAAAAATTAATAAATAAATATATATATAATGAGTTACATGCTATAGAACACATAAAAACAGAGAAAAAAAATAAATAAACATGATTATATTAAGTATATATATATTAACTATGTTTTCTTGGATTTTCCAGCACTATTTGCCCTGTTACCAGACTTGTGTTCTTTCTCGGTCTTTTTCTGTATCCGCTCGTCGTTTTTCTTCGTCTTCTTCTTCGTATTCTCCGTCTCATGTTGCAGATAATTATTCTTATTATTACCAACATATTTTCTGTCATAGCTGCCACATAAATGCATACCACTCGGACCAGATGACGCATCGGACGCCATCGAATCATCACTGTCGGTGGCTTCTTGATGATCAGCAGCATCTTTCTTGTACCGATGGCATTTTTCGTATCCGCTGACGTCATCATCATCATCATCATCATCGTCGTCGTCGCCGCCGTGATCCGGCTGGTTTTCGGGAGAAGCTATGTACATCGTCCACCCCGATTCGCTGCTGCTGCATTCTTCCGACGACCCTTCATTGATTTTCGAAGAATCCATTTTTTTTTCTTTATTTTTTTTTTCAAGAAAGAAAAGAAAAGAAGGAAGTTCTTGAATGATAGATAGTAGTAAATATTTTCACCAATCTTCTGTTTCATGCATAGAAACCTTCATCATTGCAAAAGACAGAAATAAAATAAAATAAAATAAAAATAAAATAAATAAATAAGTACTTGTGCTTAGCTGTCTCCTGCACAAATAAATTCTCTGGCCTTCATTACCAGAGAAGCACTTTACAGGTGAACTAAACCTAAACCACACTTGTAATTAAAACAATATATTTCATTTATTTATTATTATATTTTTTTTTTCTGAAAAATATCTCTGTTTTTCTTTATTACTTACTCCACTGTACGTGCTTCATAAATATTAGGGTAAATTACGGTCGCACCCTCCTGAGCTAAGGTCAAATTACGAGAAAAAAAAATCATCGCGTTCGGATAATTACAACCAACCCCTTAATTATGAATCCTTTTACATGTCCACCACTGCGGTGTCAAATTTAGTGGAATCTTCTAGATTATATGGAATGTTCTCCAGTTTGTCAATATCAGATTGTGGTGCATCATAAACTGCATTTTTGCATAAAACGAGTACAAACTAGAGAATATTCCACATAATCTAGGGGAGCCCGCTCTATACAAATGGCAAAGAATGTAATAACAACACTAATGATTTCAAATAATACCGATTTTTTTATTTTTTTATATATATATCAAGAACTTTAAATTCTCTGGCTTTGCCATCAACTAAAGAGCAGCCTTTCATGTGAATTATGCAGTGAATACAACTGTGTTTTTTTGGCTTCTTGTATAGGAAGGTTCAAATTAATATTGAATTATTGACCGAATATATATATGGAATGGTGACAATGAGTTTATTACATATAAAATCTTGATTCTTAGACACAAAAATTGATGAATGATTACATTACGTTATATTATATATTCCCTTGGCTTATTCTCTGTTTGTTTGGCTTTTCATAAGACAACATAAATTAAACATAGGCCCCCTTTGCTAGCTTTTGAATTCATTCTTTCTTGCATGTTGAATTTTAAGTCTCATTTCTGATGAATTTATATGATTATTGAAAGAAAGCAAAAATGAAAGAAAAATTCCAAATAATGAGACAAACATTCCCTTAGGTGGGGATTTTTTGATGGGATTAATTAAACTTGTTGTTGTTGTCATGCATGTGTGTGTGTATGTATATAATGGTCACTTAATTATATTATGGCAGCTAAGGCCTTGTTTGGAAAGATGTTGACATTTAGGTGCTTTTATTATGTATGTGCATCTTATTTTATCAGCATCTTCACGTGGAACTGTACAAAAACCTCTGTCACACTCAGGACAAAAACTTCTCAGTTAAATGCTCTCAGATTTTGCTTCCATAGTATATAACCTTAGGACAAGAACTTTAATTTTTTTTTTAATTTTTTAATTTTTTTTTACCTCGGTTTTGGACGGTAAAATTCCATGCACGAGCATATGACTATATTAAATATTTAGAGTTGATGATCTAAAAGATTGAACTGTGGAATGATGGGGACCATTTTGGCAAACTTGGGCTGGTTCGATCATTGGAGATGGGTCGGAGAGGTAATCGCGAACTGGGCCTGAGGAGTTTGTATGAATTTGGCGGCCTAATTGAGGCTCAAAGATGGGCCGGGAAACTTGTAAGAAGGATAGAGTTCGATTCCGAGAGCCCAAGGAAACGAGTTCACCTTGACTAAAATCGGAGAATAAAGAGGAAAATATGTGTTTTAGAGAGTATCAGCTAAATATACGTATTTTGATACTAGGAAAAGACCTAATATAATTTATCTATATCAATCTATGTGCAAGCCCCTCTCAATTCGACGTGTGTTGGGCTTTCGGACAACCTAAGAAGTAGGGTTTAGAAGGGATCTTGAGGGTGCGGATTTCGAGTAGGACAAAAATAATATCAAGTGAAGCTCGGATGTCACCGTCCCTAGATTTTGGATCGAACTATATAATGTTTATCAAAAGATGTTCATACTAGACCACGGATACTAAATAAAATGACAAAACTCAAAGTAGACAACTTGTAGATAGTAATATTCTAGAAATGTGTAGGAAGTTGTCACCAAATTGTAGAGATTTTTAAAAACTCCTAGAAACATCTCTATGATATCGATCGACCTCCAGAACATACCGAAAATATTCATTAAGTGAATTCCAACCATATGATTAAATAATTTTCACCATTCATTAGGAGGTTGAATATTATAAACATGAAGAATATCTTATTTTCGACCTATCTAACAAACTTATGAACACGTAAAACGCGTATAATTTTACTTAAGGAAACAACAAGTTTGTGACAAATGCTCGGTTCCTTCGATATGTGAGGACCGGCACTTGGCTTGCACTCGTCGGACCCTTATCAATTCCAAATTTTGCGAACGTCATATAGAGGATACTGATTGCTACACTAAATCCAGTTGAAGAACAATTTAATTGTCGGCAGTCATTATCTCAAATTATACCACCAACACAAATACTCGTCGTCGGCCACTTATTATCCCAAATTATACCACCAGCACAGATGCATTCATATTGCCGCTGCATTTGGTTGGACGGGACAATAGCATAAACTAACATTCACAGTTAATAAAAAATCCAATTAATTCTACTAACGCAACCAAATAAGACCTAAATACAACATGTACCGACAATAGTAATGAATTTTCGTTGAATTTTGAAATGACTGAATGAGAGAAACTTCGTTGAATCAGATTGTTCATTACACATCTAAAATTAATAAATAATAATTTGACATGATTTTGACATTTTTGAGAAATTTAAGCTAAAACTTTCGAATACTTGAGCTCACAAGACCAAGTCAACCAACCAATCTAACTCCTTTGAAATGGCATTATTGTAATAAATAACAAAAGAAAAGGTTATTATAAGTAATTCACAACAAATTAAAAAATAAAACTATTGAACACATCATTTAACCGATCCAATCTTTTTTCCAGCCAAACGAAAACTTCAACACAGATAGAATAAAAAAAAAAAATTCCGGCGAGGATTGATCGAACAAGGAAACAGGATCCGATAAATCTTCCACTGTTTTTAATTTTTACCCACCATAATCATCCATCTATATCTATGTGATTATTCGAAGAAATAAAAGAGAGAGAGAAAAAGAAATCTGTTCTTAGGAATGGGGTTTCAAGAATTGGTAAACTCCATTGACTGGGAGCAAGAATCCTACCCGCAGTATGAAGATTTCATTGTACTCCCCTTTTTCGCCGTATTTTTCCCCACCATTCGATTTTTGCTCGACAGATTCGTCTTTCAGGTATTTTATCAAACACATCGTAGTGTTTGCTGAATTAGGGATTCTTTTCTTTCGCCTTTTGTTGTTTCCCGTTGAAGTTGTTTGGAGTCGTCCGCTTGCTTTTAATTTGATTTTCTGTGATGGGTTTGGGTTAATAATCATCGATGCTTGCATTGTGTATGTATTTCAGATTCTATGAGAATGTAGTGTATCTTGGTTTGCGATCTCAGCTGAATGTTATTTGCTGGTCAATAAGCATTGGCTGATTGTGTTAATAATCGCAAATTTCGATGCCCCGTGCGTGGGGTAAGATGTCCGTGTTTAGTTAAAGACTGAGGAATTTCCGTAATAGGAATCAAGATTGTGGTATATACTAGAATTAAGGGGAGATAAAAAAGGGCATAGTAGGGATTTAAATATACGAGAGCGTCACATTATACCGATAATTTGTAAGAAACCTCTGCGTAAAGAATGTGTCGCGTAGTTTTGTGGTTTAGCCCTCTTGATATGTCTTAGTGCTTGATTTGGCATTCACTGATAATTTGGTTTAGTTCCGTGTCGTAGGCTGCGAAATGACAATGATGCGCACTCCAAAAGCTGCTGTCTGAAATTTACGTGTATATCTCTAAATTTCTTCTCAACTCTCTGGAGTAGCTCGAACTAGACTTGAATGTGGAATCGAGTCGAAACACCATTTCTTTGACAATTTTCGATTCCGTTGCCTCTGGTAGTTTGCCTACAGATAAAAGGGTACACTAAGGTCCCGTTTGATTGGCAAGATAAGAGTAGCCAAGATAAGATTAAATACTCTAATGAAACCCAATTATTTTATTGGAGCTTGCAACATCCAACAAAAAAAACTCACTAGAAGCCATGATTATATAATTTTGGCGGGTCGACCCGGCAATTTATTGGGGATACCAAACATCAAATTAAGTCGAACTATTTAGTTAATCATGGCTTAACTTGGCAACCAAACAGGGCCTAAAAATGACCAAACTTCCGACTAAGTGAACTTGTTGTATGGGCACTAACAAGTTCTTTTTGAATGAAAGTTCCGACTTTAAGCTCGCGTATAGTTTAAATTGTAGAAATATATTCAAACTTTGCTAGTATATATTGTAGTTGAATAAGGGTGCATTTGGATGGAGGGATTTGGGGGAGGGATTTCAAATCCATAATAACAAATCCCTCGGACTTGTTTGGATTGAGGGATTTGGAGATGGATTTCAAATCCCCACCCCTCTTTTTTAGTTGATTTTGGAGCAATAGTGATGGATTTCAAATGACTCCAAAATTGGAGTCATTTCAAATCCATTCCCCAAATCAAATCCCTCCCCAAATCCCTCCATCCAAATGGACCCTAAGTTTCTTTTTTCCCTTTTCGATTGTCCTCTGTTAGATCTTTGATCTTCCTCAAGAATCTTATGCATGCTTATTGATCTAGTTTACAATTTAAAATTTGAATGAACTATTCTCCATTCTCGATAAGTCTTGCTCGATTACGTTTTTGCAGAAAGTCGGAATGCGATTAATACACGGCAAATGGACGCAAGTGGTGGTAAACGAGACGGATGACCAAAAAAAGAAGATAAGGAAGTTCAAAGAATCGGCATGGAAATGCATTTATTATCTCTCTGCTGAAATATTAGCACTTCTTGTCACATACAACGAACCCTGGTTCACAACAACAAAATATTTCTGGGTGGGCCCGGGAAACCAGGCCTGGCCAGACCAAACATACAAGTAACAATTTCCTCTCTTCGTTTTTTTTCTTGGCACTCAATTATTTTTATTAGTAACTTTTTATTTTGGAATTAATTTTTTTTTTGTCCAGGCTGAAACTGAAGGGGCTATATATGTACGTTGGTGGATTCTATACGTACTCGATATTTGCTCTGATTTTCTGGGAAACGAGACGCTCGGATTTCGGTGTTTCGATGAGTCATCATGTTGCAACTTTCATTCTCATCGTGTTGTCGTATATATTCAGGTGTGTTTTCCTGTGTAGTACACGCGAGGGTATTTTAGTACTTTCACTACATTGTACTAAACAAAAAAATTTGTTTTTTATTTTAGGTTTGCGCGCGTTGGTTCGGTTGTATTAGCTCTTCATGATGCTAGTGATGTGTTTCTCGAAGTGGGAAAAATGTCTAAGTACAGTGGGGCAGATGCATTGGCTAGCTTCTCGTTTGTCGTTTTTGTTCTCTCGTGGGTCCTACTTCGTCTCATATATTATCCGTTTTGGATTTTGTGGAGTACAAGGTTTGTTTATGGGAATACCGTTTAAAAAAAAAAAAAAAAAAAAAAAAATCACGTTTCGACTTTATATTGAATTTCTGAAAAACTATCGTATGCTATTTTATTGCCAAAATCCCCCCTATGATTTAATTTTTTTAAGCAATTTTGTGTGACAAAAAATTGAATCGTAGGGGGGTTTCTGTCAATAAAATAACATGGGGTAGTTTTTCAGCAATATGATATAACATAGGTGTACTAAGGTGTAAAATAACATGGGGTTTCGATTTTACAATGTGCAGTTACGAAGTAATTCAGACATTGGATAAGGATAAGCACAAAGTGGATGGACCGATATATTACTACGTATTCAATTTCCTTCTTTTCTCGTTACTCGTACTTCATGTATATTGGTGGGTTTTGATGTATCGAATGCTCGTCAAGCAAGTCCAATCGAGGGGTGTTGTGAGTGAAGATGTTCGATCTGGTAAGTGAAAAATTGAAAATCGAAAAAGAAATATTTAATCGTGTTGAATTATGTATAGTGCTTCAAAATTATTGTATATTTTGCGGTAATTTATGTATCGGGTTTTTGGTGGTTGTGCAGATTCGGAAGATGAAGATCAGCACGAAGATTGATCGATGAAATTCTTTTTCTTACCACTCTGCAACAAAGTAAGTTGTGAGTAAAATATCGAATCCTTTAATGAACCATTCGAAAAGGGTCGAGATTTACGTATGTTTTCGATTTTTGCAGATTCGAAAGAAGTGTACATTTTACACATGATGTTTATTTTGACTTAGTAATGACAAGAACATTTCCTATGAATCGGACAACAGCAGAAATTTGCTATGTTAGATCATGTGTTGGCTAAAGTTTTTTTTTTTTTAATTTAATTTTTTTTATTTAAATACTTTTGGTACCATGATAAGTGTACCATTGATTTGGATATTGTAAAACTACCAGTGGACAAAGTGTAGCCAAGAATACTTTGTGTAATATATTTTTTTTCATTTTCAAATTCCGAGTAATCGGGTGTTTGGCTTAAACTTATAAACTGTTATACGATATTTAAGAGCTTATAAGCTACTCGTCTTAAAAATTCAAAAAATAAGTCGTTGGGATTTAAAAAAAAAAATACTTTTTATTTATTTAAAATCTTACAATGATTTAAAATAAATAAATTATAAGTTTATTATTCAAATATTTTAAAATTTAATTTTTAAAAATAAGACGTACCAGTTTATTAGGTTTTAAAAGAGCTTATTAGATTTAAGAACTTTATCAAATATTTAAATTAAGTTTAATCAAATAGTTTCTAAATAAGTTAAGTAATTAGAATATGAGTATTTCCTTTATGAAATTAGGTCAGATCATCTAAAGATATAGTCACACATCAAAATCGAATCTATCAGATTGGACAATTCAATTTAACTATTCTTGAAATGTACATCTCTAGTATAATCTTAATGTGGGCCAAACACTTATTCATTATTATTTCACTATGTGCAAAAGTGAAAAAGATAAAATAAAATTAATAATTAAAAATGAATAATTGTTTCTTTGCAAAAATTGAGAACATTTACAAATTCTTTGAAAAAAGTAACTCTAAAGAATTAATTGCTTAATATTGCTAAATTGTAGGTTTAACTTTTAAGCACCAAACCTTAAAATCTGCTAACAAAATAAGTTAATAGGATAAATTACGGCCACCCATGAAAATAACATCAAATTACGAAAAATTTCTTCTGTTTGACTAATTACAATCACGCCATCAATTGCGTAGTATCTTACATGTCTACATTTACGGTGTATATTTACGTATTGAAGGATGAGTTTTTTTGATAAGACAAATGTAGTTGGGAGTGGTTGTAATTACTCAAACAAGAGGAGTTTTTTAGTAATAAAAAGGGTAAATTACATCTACACCCATGAGGTATGCTAAAATGAGTTTAAGGTCCACGTAGTATTGGCAATTACAACCACACCCCTAAAACAATTACAATAGTCAAAATTTCATGTCTCGAGGACTGATATGCTCTATACTTGGTTACCACGGGGCCGTTAATGCTTCCATTGACGAAAATTTATATATATTATATAAAATAATAAAGATTTAATAAATATTATGACCCCAAACTCTATGTCGTCTCCACCACTACCTGAAATTAATAGTCCGTTGGAACCCTAACAGAGTAACTTATCCAATGCAATATTCATTTAGGGTTTCTAACAGTGTTTAAGGGGTGTGATTGTAATTACTGATACTATAGGACCTTAAAGTTATTTTAACATATTTTAAGGGTGTAGGTGCAATTTATCCTAAAAACACAAAAAAAAAATTGAAAAATAAATAAAAAAGAGTCACCGAAAAGCTAAATTAAACAAAAAAAGAGTTATGCGGTCTGCGGTCTTCTCTACCATCAACACACACACGTGTCGATATCTCAAGAATTCCCATTTCCCGAAAAAGTCCCAGAAATAAAAAATAAAAAGCTAAAACATCCCTGTTTCCCCAAGCAACATTTAGAGATCTTCTCTTTGAATAATAAATTAATTAAATAATAAATTAAAAAAAATAAAATATATAAAAGAAAAATCAAGAAAACAAGAAACAAAAAAAAAAGAGCTTCTACTGTATTCTTTTTTGCTTGGGCTGAACCCCACTTGGTTTGTAAGTTGTAACCGAAAAACAGAGTATCAAGCAAAGGTTTGAATATCCATTTTTTTTTCTCGCCATTTATATTTATTTATCTTCGCACTTCCCTTTTCTCTCCCACCTCTTTTTTTTTTTCTTTTTTTTTTTAATTTAATTTAATTTTTTTTTGGGGTTTATATTTATCAGCTTGATTTTTTGGTTTCTAGATCCAAACAAAAATCAAGAACTAATTTTTTGGGGCCGGAATTTGTGACTTAATTTTCTGGTATTTTATTTTTTTCACATGGGTGTGTTTGTGTTTTTTGGTTTTATGATTTTTTTTTTTGTAATGCCGATCAAACGACGGCGTTTTTGTGGTTGATGGGTTTCGATTTGATTTGAGTGTTGAGTTCTGTTTTAATGGCGGTGATTGTGCACTGCTCTGTTTCATTTGTTCTTGATGAATTTGGTTTTGTGATTGCAGAAATTTTGTGATTACTTAATTAGTTGTTTATTGGAGTTTGCAGTGTGTTGTGATTTGTGGGCTGGTTATAAATAGTTGATTTGATTGGATAAATTGACTCAATTTTCGTCTGGATTTCGTAATTTTCTCCGAACATTTTCTTGCTCTTAAATTGCTCTAACTGAATCGAAAATCAGTTCCTTTTTCTGTACGATTAGTATCGGTACTAGTCGAGAAAATAAAATTAGTAGAAATTCGAGGCTACTTAGCTTTTTATGTATAATTAATTGCTTATGCACTACTATTCGGTGATGTGTTTTCTTATATGTTTTCAGAGAGCATAATGTCGAAAGACACTTACAACGACGAGTCGAGTCACCGAAAAACCGGTCTTTTGAAGGATCAAGTTAAATTGGTTAAAAAGAAGGACTCGAACCGGTACGAGATTTCCCCCATTCCGAACGAATTGTCGTTTGAGAAAGGCTTCTTTGCTACAGTGCGTGCATGCCAGCTGTTGACTCAGAAAAACGAGGGTCTTGTATTGATAGGTGTAGCGGGGCCCTCTGGTGCCGGAAAGACCATATTTACCGAGAAGATAGTCAACTTTATGCCGAGCATTGCCGTTATTTCAATGGACAATTACAACGATGCTAGTCGAATTATCGATGGCAACTTTGACGGTATTTTTTAATTTTTTTTATTTTTTTTTGCCGTTGTGGAATTCGATATTGAACTATGAAGTTTCTAGCAAACCAATGTATGTAGGTGATAATTATTTGCGTTCGTTACTACAAATTTTAGATGTTTTTTTTTTTATGAAATATTAAATGTCGTTCCAATTATACTAGTAATGTTTTGACTTCGAACTTCGAACGTGATTTTGAGCCTTTTCTAGTTTGATTTTGGCGAAATTCAAAACACGGAAACTGTAGTCCTTTGAGTTAAATTTCAATTCCAACTTGATTCAGCTAGATTGGATGTCGGTTGACAAAGTTTTGCGCGAATCAGTTAGTTTTGAACTTTAGATAACTCAAAACATCAGAGTTGTGGGCAATGTTCATTTGTTCATGCATATCTTTCTCACCCTATATCCGATCGTGGCGATTCAAGTAGGTTTAGAAACATAACTCAAAGAACTACAAGTTCCGTTTTTTGAGTTTTTTCAAATTCAGACTCGAAAATGGTCGAAATCATGTTTGAAGTCAAAATAATATTGTTAAAATTGAAATGACATTTTCCACATCCTTTTTTTTTTGTTGATAACTAATTCTTGGCTATATCATGTGAAAACAGATCCAAGATTAACGGATTACGATACTTTGTTGAAAAATATTAACGACCTCAAAGAAGGGAAGCAGGTTGATATTCCGATATACGACTTCAAATCCAGCTCACGCACCGGATACAGGTGGATTTTTTTTTCTTCAAATTTTTTTTTTTATTTTTTGATTTTAGTTTAGTGATTTCAAGAAAATTCACATTTTGATGATGACAGGACACTTGAAGTACCGAGCTCGCGAATTGTGATAATCGAAGGAATCTATGCTTTAAGTGAAAAGTTACGTCCTTTACTTGATCTACGGGTATCCGTGACAGGTGGCGTTCACTTTGATCTCGTTAAACGGGTTTTACGTGACATCAATAGAGCTGATCAAGAACCAGAAGAAATAATACATCAAATATCGGAAACAGTTTTGTACCCTAATCCCTAATAATCTAACGTATAAATGTACAGCATCTTTTTATAAAAGTTTTTTCTCAGTTAGATTTTCTTTACAGGTGTATCCGATGTACAAGGCTTTTATCGAGCCTGACCTGGACACCGCACATATAAAAATCGGCAACAAATTTAACCCGTTTACTGGTTTTCAGTCCCCTACTTATATTCTTAAGGTGATCTATTATAATTTTCTGACTCGAAAAAAAAACCAAATTATGTCGTTTCTTTTCTCTTCTTATGTATGTATGTTTGTTTGCATGCACGTTTTCTAGTCACTGAAGAGTGTACCCGTGGAGCAAATCAAATCTGTCATGTCTGAAGAACACACAGAATGTACAGAAGAGACGTACGACATATTTCTTCTACCGCCCGGTGAAGATCCAGAGACATGTCAATCTTATCTTAGGATGCGTAATAAAGACGGGAAATATAATCTCATGTTTGAGGTGTGTGTGTGTGTGTGTTTCTTGGTTTTTTTTTTTTTTTTTTTTTTTTGAGTTTGGACTTATTTATTTTTAGGAATGGGTGACCGATACTCCGTTTGTGATATCTCCGAGAATAACTTTCGAAGTTAGTGTGCGTCTACTCGGTGGATTAATGGCATTGGGATACACTATAGCAGCCATACTTAAAAGAAGTAGCCATATTTTCGGCGACGAAAAAGTCTGCGTAAAAATCGACTGGCTCGAGCAGTTAAACCGTAATTATATTCAGGTATGTCATAACTTCTGTTTTTTTTTTTTTGTTTTTATAAATAAAATAAAAATTGTTTGCTAACCTTTTCGTTCGAGACAGGTTCAAGGTAGAGATAGGCTTGTAGTAAAATCCGTTGCCGAGCAACTGGGATTGGACGGTTCATATGTTCCGAGAACTTATATCGAACAAATACAGTTGGAGAAAATTGTGAATGATATGATGGTATGTTGTATGTATAGTAGTATAGCCTCGAATTATGATTTTATTTATTTATTTTTAATTGAAAATTTTGTGGCAGGTAATGCCAGATGATTTGAAAAACAAGCTTAGCATAGACGACGATTTTGCCTCGAGTCCAAAGGAAGCGCTTTCCCGAGCCTCTGCATTAGCCAGAATCAAGAACCTTAGAAGGTGCTTATGACCAATTCGCCTTTACGACAAGCAATTTTTTTTTTTCAATTTAAATGGTTTTAGTTTCGTGACGTATTTAACATAATTTTATTATTAATTATTATTTTTATTTGTTTCCGTCAGTGGCATGTCGCAATCGTATACAACAAACCGGGACAAAAACCTGTCGAAGATGAACAGGAGATTCGACGACCATACAGCAGATTCACCTGCAATTTTAGCAAATCAGGTATAATTTCTTACATTCGAAAAACATTTCTTACATGCTATATAATATCTCATTATTATTATTATTATTTTTTTGTGTGCGCGCGAAAAATAGGGAGCTGTGACACAGCTTTCGGAGCAAATTTCTACATTAAACGAGCGTATGGATGATTTTACGTCACGCATCGAAGAGCTAAATTCCAAGTTAACGAGCAAAAACGGTTCTCCTAATTCACAAAGCATAGGATTGCAAGCTGAAGCCTGTAACGGGTCGGCCCCAACTTCTTACTTCATATCCGGATTAGGAAACGGATCCTTAACCGGGTCGATGCTGCCTAATTCATCGTCTTCTTCCCAATTAGCAAAGGATTCATCTTTGACCGAAGAGGTAATAATCCTTTTTTCTAGAGTTTATTGCATTAAGTACCCCTGTGTTATATTAAATTGCTAAAAAACTCCCCACGTTTTAAATATTAGCAAAAAAGACGCCCTTATTATGATTTTTAAGGTGGCTTATTTTCTAGTTTTGCTCGATTTGTTTTTTTTGTTTTGTCGACAGCTGTCGAGTATATCGCGAGGGCAGCGCCAAGTTATGCACCAGCTGGACAATCTGAACAATCTCTTACGAGAAAATATGGGGGATAAATCGGTTCGTGACAGAAGAAAGAAACGAAGTGGGATTGCTGAAAACGATACGAATAGAAATGCGGTGATTTTATTAGCATCGTTAGCAGTTGGTGGGTTGGGAATTTTTTTGTTCAAGGGTGTATTGTCCCGAAATTGAGCTTAAATTTATTAGGTACGTAAGATTTAATATTCGTAGGCCGGAAAAGAAAAGAAAAACGATTATTTAGCGAGGGGGCGGCCCCCCCCTTGTGATCGGGAATTTAGACTTTTTGCATGGAGTTATTGATCTGTGCTGCTTCTGAGGTTTTAGGAGGCAAAGTATACCTCTATGAGGTGTATTTTAACAAATTTTGTAGTTTTTTTTATTTATTTATTTTAATAATTAGAATTTATGCATTTTGTCACTTAAGTTTGAACTAATTTTTTTAAAACAATTAGAATTAATGCATAATTGCTCAAAAAATAATTCATAGTTTGTGAAATTTATGGTTGTATAAATTTGTTCAAAATTCACTGATTTTAATTAATTTATTACATGTGAAATTTTAAGTCCACATCTTTAAATAATTTCATCTAATTACAACATTGTTTTAATTATTATTATCAATAAAGCTACATGGCCAGATTCTGGCCAACCAGAAAATGGCAATATTGTAATATTAGAAAAAGTCACAAAGTGTAGTTACTATTATGCCCCTACAAACTATTAATATTAAACTTACATATATTTCTCTTCCTCATTTCCAGACCCGGGTCAACCGAGGATGTTCTTTGATCAGTTTCGAACTTGGGTCTTGTGGGGGACCCACTGATTTTTAATGTGGAGATTTGGCCCAAAAATGCTTCAAATGAGAATCGAACCTGGGTCGTTAGTATGCATATAGTAACTACAAACCATCAAGCTAATTGCATAATTGCAATATTATTGCAAATAAATATATATAATAGACTTATAGTATAAAATGATTATAATTTTTATATAAACAATGTCAAATAAATTATTAATTGTCGTATTCATTATATTCAATAATTTTAATTTATATTAAGGAATTTAATATATTAAATTTTAAAAAATGTAAAGAACCGCAGTTCAACTCTCCCAAACATCTATCATTATTTACTGTAATATATATATATATATATATATATATATATAAATGCATGACTTGATACTTAGTTTAATCAAATAGTAGATTTGGAGTAATTACACTCAAGTTCTTTTAATTCTTAAATTTTATTCAAAATTTTGAATTGATTGACATCAATTATTGACAAGAACGTATTGAAATTGTTGATTATTTTATATAGGAAAATCATTGAAAATAGTTTATTTATAAAAAAATGTAGATGATATTTATTTTAATAAAAGTAGATTATAACAAATTCCAATTATTGAGAAGAACATATTTATAAAAAAAATATAGATGATGTTTATTTGAAAAAAAAAAAACAGATTATAACTTATTCTAATTAATATTTATATTTTAAAATAAAACTATAGATGATGAGTAAAATAAAAATATTATATTGTGATTTTCTTTTAATACTTGGTTTATTAGTTTTTCAAAGAAGATATTAAACGAATTTACTATTTATAATTAAAGTATAATATATTTTAATTAAATTTTATCATAAAAATAATATTAATACAATTCCTTAAAATCGTAAGAAATAATCTGTTAATCGTAAGATTTGAATCGGTTAAGATCAAGTTCTTTCAATTCGTAAGCTTTATTCAAAGATTTGAATTGATAAAGTCAGCTATTGACAATGACGTATTCATCAAATTAACTAAGTAATATCTTTTTAATTGAATTTTATTGTATAAAAATAATAAAATTTAATCATTTTTTGACATTTACATTTTATTCGAATATTTAAATCGAATCTTTAGATTTAAATGGATTAAACTCAAGTCCTTTTAAAAAAAAATATATTATTATTATTATTATTTTATTATATTGCATTTTCAATAATTTAATGAATATTATTTAATAATAATGAATGTGCTAATTAATAATCTATTTATTATTTATCATAATCATTTTACACTTACAGTTGAGTATATATCGTTCTTGGTAGATGTTTTGTTAAGTTGTTCTGTACCTCAGTGGTTAGTTCAATGCTTTACTTTTTTAGCAACCCGAGTTCGAATTTCAACCACAGCTTTTTCGGATTAAAATTCCAGATAGGCCCTAGACCCGGTCCGAACCCGAACCCGGCAGTAAATTTGGAACCAGACCATTATTAAGGGGTAAAAACGGTATTTAATAAAATATTAAAAAAAAAATTAAAAAAAATCAGATTCTGGCCAGCCAGATTCTGGCCATTTAGCATTGTCCTATTATTATACACTTAAATTGCCACCAAATATAAAAAGGTGACAAAGAATAATTATTCCAATAATTATTATTATTATTATTTTTTATTAACACAAAAAGTCAAAAGAAAAAAGTATAAAGCATTTAATTTTAGCAACTAAATAAAAAGCGTGTTATAAAACCTTCTTTTTTGGCTTTCTTTTACCGCGCTTTTAATCCAAGCCAAAGAACAATCTGCTGTAGTTCATCAATTCAGATAATTCAGAGTCATTTACCAAAGGTGAAATTCCAAATCTCTCTCTTATTAATTCCTCTTTTTTAAGATCAGAAACAATTTACGATTGCCCATAATTATCGCGTCTCCGTATCTGCTTTCATGATTCTTTGGTTCTGAATTTTTGGTTATTTAAATTTTCGCAGAAGATAATTTTTTTTTTTTTTTGTTGGTGCAGGTTATAGATACAGATTGTAGGATTTATGAAGAATTATTCATTTGCGGTGTAACTGAAATACACTTTTTGTAGAAATTATTGAAAAGATAAATAAAATGGGATACATAGGGGCGCATGGAGTAGCAGCTCTGCATAGGTACAAGTACAGTGGAGTGGATCACTCTTATTTGGCAAAATATGTTTTGCAGCCTTTCTGGACTCGCTGTGTTCATTTCTTCCCTCTTTGGATGCCGTGAGTTTTTTATTTAATTTATATATATGTTATTTTAATTTCTGAAATTTGGTGATTTTTGGGGGGTGTTTTGGGTAATTATATTTTGTTGGGTTTGTGTTTTTCGTGATATGGGTTCTTGAATTGATTGGACGGAGAGTGACTGTATGTAATTTATTTCTTATATGTGTACGTATTTATGTATCTAGATGCATGAGTATGAGTGTAAACAAATCGAGTACAAGGCATGTTTGTTCAAGCTTGTTTGAATTTTTGTCGAGCTTTCAAAAATTTGCTTGAGAGCTTGGTTTGATAAGCAATCATGTCGTGCTTTAATCGAGCTGAATACGGGTCGGGTCGAGCTCCAGTAGTTTGACCTTTTTTGACATATTTTTCTTTTCTATGTGGTATTTTCTACAAATCCCCTGTTCATTAAATGCTCGCTAATTACTTCCGTTTTCCTTTGTGCGTGGATTGGATGCAGACCTAATATGGTAAGAGTCCTTTGAGTATCATCTTCTTTTTTTGTATACAGTATCGTTCCGCAGCCTATTTGCTCATAGCTTATGCTGCACTTTTGTGTTCCTTCGTAGATTACGCTTATGGGATTCATGTTCCTTGTTACATCTGCATTGCTTGGATATGTGAGCTCTCTCTCTCTCTCTCTCTCTCTCTCTCTCTCTCTCACAC